TTGGCATTATTAAATGACCCAAAATGACAAACAATTAAGATATCAGAACTTGTGAAACAGGCTGGTGTGGAGGATAGACTACTTGTATAACTGACACTGACACTTGTGTCAGTCCACTTAAAAGGGAGTTGTCCTTTCCCACTTTCTCCAAGTGGTTGCTCATACGAAAAAGTTCTGATAACTCTCAGTTGTCAATGTGTCCTTTAGTAAAACTCAGTTTAAAGACTTTTTCTCAGTCAGCGGTATCCAACGGACAGTGAGAACCCAGGTTTTAAAATATTTTATAATATTGCATTTCACAGCTATCAAAGCAAAGCTTTACGGCTACTGTCCAACACTGATCACTATAAGATTGTTACTAAACAGTTATCTGACCACATCTGTGACTGTCGCACCCACCTGGTAACTCTGGCAGAAAGTTGCTGAGCTTCTCCTTCACCTTCTTCCCGCAGAACTTATTGTAAGCGTGCTCCAGGTTGTAGTGCGTGATGAGGTTGGTGTTTCCCGTTAACTCGTTCCCCACTAAGCACACACACCAAATTCATATCATTTGTAACCAATCTGTACATAAATGTTTGTGAAATAGATGACCATTTCCAAAGGGAACCTGGGCTACTTCAGGGATGTTCATTCCCATAATAACCGTAGTTACACAACATATTTTTAAGCCACAAAAAGGTGTTAAATCTACAGCATTTGTGTTACACACTGAATATAAACGCTTCACTGAAAAACACATCGCTACTAACTACAATCTGCTAACTCAATGTTAGCCCACAACCAGCTAGTCAACCTACGTGAGCTAGTATTGTTTACAAACTATTTAAGCTGCTTTAGATTTCGGCTAAAGTTTAAAAATAAAGGACAAATTAAACACGAAGCACCCAACAGTTACAAGAATTCACCAGTACCAGGCAGCTCCCGCAGTAAATAGAAAGGTTCATTCATAGCTCCAGGCTTCCGTAGAGCAGGCCCTTCATCCCCGAGCTGCGGTGGTATCTGACCCGCCATGGCAACTTGGTTTTGCGGCATAGGCGGTGGAGGCTTCCCCGGTCCAAAACCCAGAGACGAAGAACCAGGTGGTCCCTGAGCTTCATTTGACCCGAAAAGAGTTGAAAACATTTCCGTCATATCTACCTTGAATAATACATTTATATGGAAAGAAAATGCCGGGCTCTTCAAGCTTATGGCCTGCTATCTGCGAGGA